ATCATTCTCATTATTATTTTTCGCCATTTTTTTCATCACTATTATTACTATCATCATCATCATCATCATCGGTTCCTCTGGCATCGTCACCATCACCACCATCAGCAACAGCAAGCAGCAGAGGCAGTTGCTGCAGCTTCGCTAACTTCTTCATCTTTTTCTTGATCATCTCCATCTGTTCCACTATAATATTCGTTTATTTCGTTATTTTTTTTAAATGTTATACATATCTACCTCCTCATCATCATTTAGAATCACAATTATCATCATTTTACTCTCTTATCATTAGGTTTAACAATTTTATCTTCTTCTCCTGAAAATATAAATTATTTTTCCTAAAAAGACCCGTACAAAGTCGCTTCAATTGGAATGGCTTTCACCTGTCGGTTGGATAATGTGCCACAGAGCCAATCCATCAAATGCACAGCACACGAGCAAATTTCTTTGTGAGACTTCATTGCGAACAAGCGATCTATCTGACAATAACTGAGCAGAAGGGGGAGTTATTACGACGATTGAATGAATGGATGTATGGAATGATGAATGAATGAATGGATGAATGAATGGATGGATGAACGAACAAACGAACGCACGAATGAATAAATGAATGAGCGGTTGTAAATTATGCCGAAATATATATTTAAAAAAAATTCATACTTTTCCAAATAGAAAATTTTTATAAAATTCGTCAAAAAATTTTGACAGTTTGGCGAAGAAAATAATTAAAATGAAAAATTCTAAAAACTTTTCTCGGAAAGGCATCAGAATTGATTTAGATTGCCAAAACACTTTTTACGACAAATTGAAATTTGAAACACACAAACGAACAAACACACACACACACACATACATACATACAAACAAACACACACACACATGCAAATAAACAAACACAGACAAACATACGGACATACAAACAAACGAACGTACATTCACAAACCTACATGCATTCATTCATACAGACAGACACACATACACACACACACGCATACAAATAAATACACACGCATCCATAAATACAAAAAATTATTGTCAAACCTAGCAACAATTCCCGAGATAATTTTCTTGTTTGTTTGATTGATACACAAAACTTGCCTGTGCTGCTTGCTCTTTCCCACAAATGATTTTGCTCCAATCTATTATGGAGAAAAAGTGTTTATTTCATTTATTTTATTTTTCTTTTAGAAAAAGTGTTTATTTTATTTATTCATTTATTGTTTATTTATTTATTTAGTAAAAACTATATATTTATTTTCAAATTAATTAATTTTATATATTTTAAAAATTTATTTAAGAGTTTGCTATTCAATGTTGTCCATTTTCATTCCATATGATATAGTACAAGATGAAAAAATTATAAAATTATTATATTATAAACATTTTTCTTAAATAATATCTCTCTCTTTTTTTTTCTTTCTCATTTTTTCTTCTCTTTCTCTCTCTCTCTCTTTCTCTCTCTCTTTCTCTCCCTCTCTCTCTATCTCTTTCCAGCCTCAGCTTAGCATGAAGTGTTTGATGTAGAATAGTGTATTTGTGTTGTGGTGGTACATACACACACACACACCACACACACACACACACACCCCATACACACACACACACAAAGCGCATGTATACGCGTTAACTTAAGCATGTGATAGAGAAGGATCCTTTTGCATTTGATCCCCGTCATTGTGACAGCAGAGCCAGCCATCTTAACAGTTACACCACCGTATTAGAGCTCTTCACCATCTAATCATTCGAATGATACTTTATCTTATTAATCTTTATTTTAAATTTTACCACCAATTTATTTACATGCATAGATATTAAAATGTAACATAAACAATTAATCGTGTTTTTTTTGCTATCAATCATTGATGGGTGGCTTCATTTCGGCCACTCGATAATAGCGAGAGAGAGAGAGAGAGAGAAAGAGAGTGTGTGTGTGTGTGTGTTGGTGAGTATGTGTGAGAGAGAGAGAAAGAGAGAGAAAGAAAAAGATAGGAAGAGAGATCCTAGACTACACAAATTAAAAGGTTTATTGATAAAATAGGAATTGAACTAAAGTACTTAAAGTTTAATCTCGACCCGGATTAAAGCGTCGTTTCGTTTTGTTTCGTTTCGTTTGCGTCATTATATATTCGCCAGGAAATCTATAATCATTTGCCGCTTGAATCGAATCGAATAAATGAGTGAATGAGTTAGTGAATGAATGCCTGGATAGATGAATGGGTTAATAGATAGGTAGATAGATAGATTGATGGATGGATCAAAATTTAGTGAGTGTGAAACATCATCCCCGCTATTATTTCTATGCTAATTTCAAAACAAGAAGAATACAGATTCCAGTTTAAAATTTTATGAATTTTATTTATTCATTATGGCCCATTATCGTAAGCTTTGCAAGTATTTTTAACGTTTATTATGGGTATTAGTGTTAGGTGCTAAATAAATTTATGGCCTGGAGACATAGATCTGGAGAAAAAACTATCCCAAGCAAAATTTAGTCATCACCTTTGTCAATATTACCATGTAACTACACAAAAAACGAACCACTTCTACCAAAACGATAGCTGTAGAGAAAAAAATCGACCAAAAACCACATAAAATGTCACATCTCTTTTTCGCCATTTCCTATAATTTGGTGTGTCATTTAGAGGTGTTGAGTGAGGTATGTCACTCTGTAGTATGTATGTAGATATGTGTGTGTGTGGTGGGTGGGTGTGTGTGTGTGCGTGTGTGTGTGTGTGTGTGTGTGTGTGTGTGTGTGTGTGTGTGTGTGTGTGTGTGTAAGACCTAGAGCTCATTCAGCAGGCAGACGTTTTAAATATTAACACTTTTGGCGCGCGTAAAAATGGCGAGTCAACTGAAGCATGCTTTATTGGGCTATTTATGGATGTAGGTGAAATTTTTGGTTATTTCTTTCTTGTGTTGTTAAGTGGGATGTTGTTGTTTGTTCTATTGCTGTTTAGTTTGTCGTTGTGGTTTGTATTGTTGTCGTTGTGGTTTGTATTGTTGTTGTTGTTGTTTGTTTTATTGCTGTTTGTTTCGTCGTTTTTTGTTTTGTTGTTGTTGATTGTTATGCAGTTGTTTGTGCAGATTGTTCTCTGTCTGTGCTTTTTTAATGATTAAATCTGTGGTTTGTCGGTTTTCTTTGTTTTTATTAGGGCTGTCAGCCTCCTTTTATTTGCCCTAAGCAAGGCTTGTTGGGCATTTCTGAACAGAACAGTATCGTTGTTCATTTCATAAAAAATGTTAACACTGATGTTTCTACGAACGCACGGATGTTCGTATGGTTTTCAAAAATAAATTAATGAAAAAATGAAAAAAAAATCTTTCGAAGGAATGAATTAGTGAATGATTGTATGCATGGACGAATGAACGAACAATCAAATAAATGAAAGAATAGATGATTAGATAAGCAAACAACTAATCGAACAAACGAACGATCGAACGAACGATCGAACGAACGAATGAATGAATGAAAAAAAGGAAAACGAACGCATTTTTGAGTCCTGGGCTGGAACCATCTGACTTTATGCTGGCTTCTCCTAAGGCGAAAAAATATTTGAAAGTGCTAAAAATAGTTTGCGTAGGTGCATGTATCAATATGTATGGGAGTACGTTCGAGTTTGTGCGTACAAAATGGCCTGTATAAGTGTGTATATTCATGTTTACATGTATATATAGGTTTGTAGATGTATAGGTGTGTGTGTATAAATTGGCGTATGTATGTATGTATGTACGGACCTACGTACGTACGTACGTACGTACGTACGTATGTATGTATGTATGTATGTATGTATGTATGTATGTATGTATGTATGTATGTATGTATGTACGTATGTATGTATGTATGTATGTATGTATGTATGTATGTATGTATGTATGTATGTATGTATATATGTATGTATGTATGTACGTACGTACGTACGTATGTATGTATGTATGTATGTATGTATGTATGTATGTATGTATGTATGTATGTATGTATGTACGGACCTACGTACGTACGTACGTACGTACGTACGTATGTATGTATGTATGTATGTATGTATGTATGAATGTATGTATGTATGTATGTATGTATGTACGTATGTATGTATGTATGTATGTATGTATGTATGTATGTATGTATGTATGTATGTATGTATGTACGTACGTACGTACGTACGTACGTACGTACGTACGTATGTATGTATGTATGTATGTATGTATGTATGTATGTATGTATGTATGTATGTATGTATGTATGTGCCAAAACTACAGAAATTTAGACAAACGAGTCGCATGAGTTAACCGAACATTACTGACCAAATAATCTACAAAAATTCTGACAACTACGAAACTTGCGACAGTTAAAAATATTTTCAACGACAGATATGCGAAGAGAGGAGCAACAGGGGTCTCCATTACTTGACGACACTTGTCCAAGATATCATGTACAGGACCCAACAGGCTCATGTCAAGTCGGATATTGAAACGGTTTCGTTTCTGCCAGGTTGGTAGGTTGGCTGGTTGCTTGGTTTGTTTGTTGGTTGGCTGGCTGGCTGGTTGGTTGGTTTGTTGGCTGGTTGGTTGGTTGGTTGATTGGTTGATTGGTTGGTTGGTTTGTTAGATGTTTGGTTGGTTGTTTGGTTGGTGTAGTTGGTTGGTTTGCAGGTCAGCCGATATATTGCACAGTTTTGCGGATGATGATTTGAATTAATATGACCATCATTATCATCAGCATCTTTATCATTACACTCATCATCATCATCGTCATCTTCATCATCATCATTACTCCTCTCACCATCATCATCATCGTCATCTTCATCATCATCATTACTCTCACCATCATCATCATCATCATCTTCATCATCATCATTACTTCTCTCACCATCATCGTCATCATCATCGCCACCACTGTCCAGATGACCTGACAAAGTATTGGACCTACAAGGGCTCCTTCACGACTCCCCCCTGCTACGAAACCGTCACATGGATCGTCTTCCACAACAGCATATCCATAACAAGTGAAGATGTGAGATAATGATGACGGTGTCGATGATAATGATGGTGTTGTCGTTGTTGATGATGATGTTGATTGGTTAATGATGGTGTTGTCGTTGATGATGATGTTGATTGGTTGATGATGATGTTGATTGGTTGATGATGAGGATGTTGATTGTTGAAGATGATGTTGGTTGGTTGTTGATGAAGATGATGATTGGTTGATGATGATGATGATGGTGTTGTTGTTGCTGATGATGATCATAGTGAACAAACAAACAAAACCATAACAACAACCAAAACAACCACAAGACAACAACCAAAACAACAACAACAACTGCATCAACCACTATAACAACCACCACAAACAGCTCGCAAGATTCCGAACTTTGAAATCGTACGAGGAGACAGAGCAGCGACCGAACGACGAATTTGACGGCAACATCGCCAGAAACTGTCGCCTGGTACAGCCGATGGGCACTCGACGCGTCTACACAGCAGAGAATATCCACAACCAGTACTTGGCTTGCTTCGATGATCCTTTTCGCCTCTATCGCGTCGCCCCAACAGCAGCCACAGCAGCCACCACAAGCGGCAGCCAGTCAGTCAACGTCAACGCTTCGACGGCGCAACGTGTCGCGACATTTCCGGACAGCGTCAGGAAGTACGGGAGAGCTTAACACAGTGGCCGCGGCGGATGGTCTCAATGTGGAGGATAGGCAGGAGTATCGGAGGGATAACGAGCTGGTGGAGTGTTGTTGTGTAGTTTCGTAGAGGTCTGTTTGTTGTTGTTGTTGTTGCTGCTGCTGTTGTTGTTGTTGCTGTTGCTGCTGTTGTTGTTGTTGTTGTATTTTTCCATGTGAGGTTTGCTGTGTTGATTTATGACCAGATAGCTCGAGAAATTTAAGAGATTTTGGGGAAAGTTGAAATCCATAGAAACATTGAGAAAATCGTCTAATAGAGAGTGTTGCCATGAATATCGCTGGTTTTCTAATAGCTGTGTGGAGACACACCAAAGATTATTAATATAACGGGGATTATTACTGAAAACATACATAAGTACTATTACTTTCATCCATAATAGAAACAGACGCATACACATGTGAATGTACACACGTACACATGTGAATGTACAACTACACTTACACGTGTGAATGTACAGCTACACGCATACACATGTGAATGTACAACCGCACGTACAAATGTGAATGTACAACTACACGTACACATGTGAATGTACAACTACACGTACACATGTGAATGTACAGCTACGCATACACATTCACTTTTGCTATGAAAGGATTTTAGATACTAGAGATGTCGCATGGCATACGTTGTAGGAATCTCTCCATCTTTCACTTCAATCACTCTCTATAAAAATTTTTATTAATTAATTTTTTAATAATTAATTTCTATTAATTAATTTTCTTAATTAATTCATCCATTTAAATATTCGTCTCTTCTTGTATGGTTTGTTATTGGTTCATTTTTTATCGGTATTTGTGGACTTTTTTAAAAAATATTTATAGATGATGTCATAGATTGATTAATATATATATATATATATATATATATATATATATATATATATATATATATATATATATATATATATATATATATATATGGTATCTTTCTATTTTAATTTAAGTTGCTTGTTTTACAAATGTTTTCAAATCCGTCACAATTTTTCCAATTCATTTCGTCATCTCTCTCTTTACAAACACGCATCCAACACGTAGAATTTTGTTTAACTGTTTTACAGTTAATTATATTAATTAATTTTATAATTAATTATATTATTCAATATTACAATCAATTATATTATATTATATTAAAATATGTACGGCACAGTTCTAAATCGATACTTATTCTTCAAGTGATTTATTTATATGAAATCACGCCAAACAAGCAGTAACACAAGTATGTATGTATCCAGGTTTAAGTAAAATTACACACGCACACACACACATACATACACACACTCATGCGCACACACATGCATACACGCACATACACACGCACAAAAATATAAAAATTTCGACATGCCAAACAGCTAAACAGTTTTTAGATTTAATTTCTTTGTTTTTGCATCACTAGCAGAAAGATATAGAAACAAAAAATGATGAGAGATATGAATAGAAAAGAGGATACGGAGGAGAAAGGAGCGAGTAATAAAGAAAGAGAGAAAGAAAAAGAGAGTGTATGAAAATTAACAAGCAGTAAAAAAATTATGAAACATTAAAGAATTTTGTAGGAAAGAAAGCAAAAGAAGATTTAACCCAATGTAAACCGACGTTCAAGCTCACCGAATCGACATATCTTATTATGATAATTAATAAATTAATTATAGAGATATAATTATATATATCTATAATTATATAAAAAGATAATTATATATATAATTTAAAAAATTATTACGTAGCAAAACAGGTTATTTCATTTAAATAATTATTATAATAATATTATAATAATTATAATACCAAACAACTAATTTTTTTAATGAATTGCACACACAAACATACATAAACTCAAACTTATTTATACACATACATATATACACACGAACGAAAATTCAGACATCCACACACACACACACACACACGCACGCACACGCACGCACACACTCACACACACAGTTGTTTATCCGAAAATAATGAACTTTTTTCTAAATATTCTTCAGATATGTTATTATATTTACTTTCAATTAACTTGCATCAGTTTGTTCATAATGTTAAAAGACATTCGTCTTGTCATTTATATTGCAACCTTACATATAAATATATATATATAAATATACAATTATATGTATATATATATATACATATAATATATATATAATATATATATATATATATATATATATCTTCTTTGCAAAATGCTCAAAGCTATTTATAGTTACTCGAAAAAGCGTGGTTTTTTTTCATATATCTTATATAGTTATATAAAAATGTATACAAATGTATAAAAAAAAAGTTTATTTGTATATCTATTATTTATAATTCGATTGTAAATGAATATTATTTTAAATTGAATTTAAATAGGGTATCTACGGAAAAATATTAATTATTATTCAATTAATCATTATTAAAATCAATATTTCTTCATTCGTTAGCTCTAATTCGATTGAATTATCGTAATAATATTTTTCGCGCGCTTTTTAACTATAATTTTTAGCTATAATTTTTTTAAAAATGTGTCGTTTTGTATATATCATTTATATATACCCTACACTCGCATATGTGTTTGTATCAGTATAAGTACACATATATGTATACATACATTGCAAAGGTTTTGGACAAATCAGTGGCAGATCCGGGGGTTTCAAAGAGAGTCCAAAGGGAGTTGGCGGATTTCGGGAATGCATCACCCCACCGAATCACAAAAGAAAAGAGTATTGAGCATAATTTGTAAAGTGAAAAATTAGCAAAAAATATTTTACAAAATTAAAGACATTGAAGAATTATTCCTCTCGACGGGATTTCGGGAATTTCGAGATTTCCGAACGGTTAAAGGTCATGAACCTTTGAATTTTAAAATCATTCCTTCCCCGCCCCACCGCTCTGAATTCCGGATCCACCACTGAATGAAATGGGAATAATATTTAAAATAATAATATTAACTAAAATAATAATTATTATTATTATTGAAAATTACTTTTTTAAAAGCAAAATTCGTGTATGAAAAAGTTGGATGTCTTTTGATGTTTGGATTGGGATAAAGTTTATTTAAATCATTTTTCACCGAAATTTTTATATAAATATTTCTACGGAGTTTCTTGCGTGCGCGATTGCTGATTTTTAAAAAGTTTGCGAATTTAGTAAATTTTTAATTTTGAAGCATTTTTAGCGTAATTGAGTTAATTTTTAAGGTGTTAAGTACAAGTATATAAGTATAAGTAATGTTATAATGTATAAGTACTATGTGTTAATATCTCTAAACATACTTGCTTCTTTTATCATTATTTTCAGCTCTTTGTTGGCGTTTAACATTTTTAAAATACTGCTGGGTTTACAAAATTTTTTGGCGAAATTGTTGTAAAACAATTTAACTATCAATCTACGTAATTCACTTGGCCCATGGAATTTTAGTTTAAACAGTTTTAACCTAGCATAACAGGGAGTCCATTAGACTAGTGTCTGTCTGAGAACCACTGCCTATTAATTGTATTAATTCCACGGAAACCGTTTCGTCGTTCCGCTCGTTCCAGGTGTTTACCACCCTGCCGTTGAAAAATCTTTGCCTGATTTGAACTCGAACGTTAACTGATGCGATTCTTCATCGCGATAATATTCAATCTCTTGTTAGAATGCAGATGTTTTAACAACTATGCTGACCAAAATAAATTTTCCGTTAGTAATAGTCAACAATTAATGTTCTGAAATCCAAAAACTTGTTAACTTAAACTAAAATTACAGCATTCGGCTATTAGGTTTTAAAATTGGCTGAAGCAATATGTCACATTTCGACGGACTCCAATATTGATGCTTACCCATGTAGTCCTCTACGATAAGTATAATAATTTTGTGACGTCATTTTGTTCTTCCGGCAAAGTTCATGATGGAAAGAATAAAATAGATCAATTTTAGTACGAAAATTCTATGGTTAAACCGAACCATTTTTCCAAACTAAGTAGCATTAAATTCTTTAGTCTAATTATATCATTTATGTAATGAATATCAGAAGTACTATGTTTAGCAAATTAAAAATTTAACAAAATTTTTTTATCGTCGCGTAATTTTGAAACTTTTAAGCTTTCTTCTTTTATACTGAGCAAAGTTAAACTATAAATTTACTATTTTCAATCAAATTTAATACTGCACTTATTTTCAAATTTTTTATTTCTCGAAATAATTTTTTTGTTTCAATTTACGTCCATTTGCAAGAGCTCAAATCGGATAACCTGGCCGCCACATTTTCCACAAAGTAACAGTACTTGATCACCGCCCCCACCCATTTAATTTTCACCAAAGAGAAACGTTCATCCATTCACCAATTTTGGTATCCTACCAAAAATGGAATGGCGAACTTGGTGATATCTACATCCAGATTTGTACCTTCCGAGTGTAGACCAGAAGGTACAAGATAGGAATTCATTCAAATAAACAAGATACAAAATAAGATTAGACAATATCGAGTTTGCCATGTTTTGCGTTCTATTATTCCTATTTTGATGTATATTTCAGTAGCCATAGTACTCAGTAGAAGTCGCAAATATATTAGTAGAAACTTCGATATAAGAAAATTTTCGGATTATTCGAATTCGTTATAACTATATAATACGCATCAACTCACACACACGCCTCCCATACGCACACACAAACACGCTAGAAGGCATTCACTACAATTAATTAACTAACTAATTAATTAACAAGGCTCCACGCTAGGAAATTTTCATTCTGCTTTTTCATTTTATGTGGAAGATAGAAAATTTATTAATTAAAACATTCATTACTATTGTAGCATTTCAGTAGATTTACATTAGAAATGGTTTCACATTATGTTACACGTTACATAATGTTACACACGTTACATTGTTACACATTACGTTACAGTTCGCTGTCACATAACCTGTTGCACGAGTCAATTTTGTAACCAAAAATATCGAACGAGATTTTTATTATACATATATATATACATATATATAATTAATCATAATTATCCACATTAATATGAATAATATAGTAAAAATTATCAATTTATTCATTTAATATATGTAACCATTACGATGAATTACAATACAATCTATTACACACATTTGTTCTCAACGGGTAACCACAGTTTGACACGTAGCCAAAGTTCTTATTTATTTGCACTGACAATAATAAAAATAATAATAAATAAAAATAATAATAAATAAAAATAATAATAAATATTATTATTTTAATTCAAATTATGCTATCAGCACACTTTTACTTGATTTACTTACGTTTTACTTAACGTTTACTTCAAACTTTTTATTCCCAACAATCATCACCAATACCATCTTACAATTATCATCATCATCATCACAGCCACCACCACCATCATCATCATCACAGCCACCATCATCATCATCACAGTCACCATCATCATCATCCCCACCATGACAATCATCATTATCATAATCACGATCATCATCAACATAATCCATTTTGCAGTTGAATTCAAATGGTACATTTTTTTTCATGTAATAAAATGTTTTCCAAAATTTGAGGATGCCAGTTTGGTTCGCAGCTGTTGTTTTTCTTTGATTTTTATTACAATTAATAATCATAATAATAATAATAATTATTATTATTGTCAATAATAGTAATAATAATAACAGTGATGCACTACAAGTTCTCTGAAGAAAAACGTACTGAGTTTAATATTTAATCAATCGACTTGTTATTCAATTAATTAATTATATTACTAAGTATTTTATTAATTAACTACCGTATAATTTTAATTAGATTTTCATAATTTATTTCAAAAATTTAAAAAAAAAATGAAATTAATCATAAGTCCACAGATACAGTTGGACATATTAAGGATTTTATTATATTTAATAAATTTATCCATACAGATATCTTAAGTGGAAATCTAGCAACAACAATAACAACAATAATAATAGTAAAAATAATAATAACAACAATAATGACGATAAAACTGCAAAAAATATCAATAATAACGATCCCTTTAAAACATTTACTCAATTTCACCCAGGTAAATCTGCTTGTCACTCGATCCAGAGCAAACTGAAAGTTGAAAAAAGATTTATTAAACTAATTACACAAATATTATAACTGAATAATTAAGTATATTAATAACCAATGTGAAAAAATTATGATTGAATAATATAAGGTTAAGAAAAAAAAATATATAGTAAACATGATCCTAATAGTTAGCTTGAACAAAAAAAAAAAAGAGAGAAACGAACTTATGGGCTCAAATGGATGGAAATCTACTTCATTAACTGATCCTCCATGTCCAGGGAACTTGTATAGTATCCTTCTCGTCGTCGTATCCCAGATGTAGACCATCCTATCCCCTGATCCAGCTGCTATCTTGGTGCCGTCTGGGCTCCAAGAGACGCGAAGTAAGTTCTGTCATGTGGGTGTTGGGGATGATTTGTGGTTTTATTTATACATGATTTTAATGTAAATTTTTGAATTAATATATAACAACAAAAAGGATGCAAACATTTTGAACGATGACAATAAAATATCGTAATAATAATAATAAATAATATTAATTAATAATAATAACAATACCTTTTCAAATGTATGCTGGTTTCCTTGGAAGATTTTAACACATCTTTCCTGGGGAGCGTACGGCCTAACGTCCCATATCCTAACTGATTATTATTATTATTATTATTATTATTATATTGTTATTATTATTGTTATCCTAACAGATTAGTGAAATTAACATTATTAATGTTGTGTTTGTTGTTATTATTGTTGTAATTATCTATGGAGTTATTATTAAATAAGCACATCCATTCAAACAAACAAACAAACAAACAAACAAACAAACAAACAAACAAACAAACAAACAAATATCCACCTATTTAATCATACAAACACCCATATGAAAAAAAAACATACAAACACCCATACATTGAAACATACAAACAAACAAACAAACATACAAACAAACATACAAACCCGTATTATCCATAGCAGTGGAGAGCAAATAGGACCCATCAGGGCTCAGCCTTAGCCCCGTAACTGTATCCATGTGACCCTTCATCGCGTAAACCACATCATTCTTTCGTAAATCCCAAACCTTAGACAATCATCATTACATTATAGAGTATAATAGTAATTATGGTTATAAATAAATTGTATAATGAATAACAGTGATAATTATCATTGAACAAATGAATTTATTATATTAAAGACAGTTAAAAGTTGCTGTCACAATCATCACCATCGTCCAACTTTGATTCCACCACTACTACCTCTACTTACCTTGAGATCATTATCAATACCGCCACTGATGACTTGCTCGGAGGTGTCCGAGAAGCAGACCGACGTAACTTGGAAGGTGCTCTGGAGGGTTTGGATCGACGTCTTGCGCCTCGAGTCCCAGATCTAGGACATGATGATCATGATGATAATGGTGATGATGGTGGTAAAGATTGTGAAAATGATGATGATGATGGGATGATGGCAAAAATGATTAGACTATGATGTGGCGATCTTAAAGTAAGATAACCAAAAACGCCAAACAACCAAAACATTGAACAATCAACAACCAAAAACACTCAATAACCACTAACAAAAAACACCTAATAACCAATAACCCAAAACACTAAATCAACCTACCCTAACGGTGCCATCATCACTACCACTGCACAAATACTGTGGGCCTCTCCTCGACACATCGCAGGCATTCACGAACGTCTGGTGTCCCTTATACTTCCTGATTCTCGTGGCACACTCTGCATCCCATAAGGATAAAGTCTTGTCCACTGAACACGTAACCATCTGGCTGTTACGGTGGTGGTGGTAAAAAAAATTGTAGAGTGTAATTTGTAATGTAATTTGTAATGCATTGTGTGTAATGATGCGATCTGTAATGATTTACTGCTTTGATCTTAGGAATGCGTAATATGTGGTCATCAGTAACTAAGAAGTAATTCACAAAAATGAAAAGCACACGAACCATCCGTCTGTAGTAAAATGCAAATCCATAATGGCATTGCTGTGTCCTTTCAGCGTGGCTATGTTGTCGCAGGCTCCATACACATTCCATAACACTATATGCAATGAAATTATATTAAAATTATTGTAAATTACATAAAAATTATTATAAATAACACAAATTATATCGCAATTACTGTCAATTTCACAAATTAAACATAAAAAGTATTAAACCAGAAAATAAACTTAATTATTAATATCAAACATAAAACACCTACATATCATCCTATCTGTGCCAGCTGAAGCCAAGAACTTTCCATTGGGAGAAAATTTGCAGCAGTAAATTTCACTCTCGTGTCCTGTTAGTAGCATGATTGGGGCCTGGAGTTTTGAGGTCCGCCTGATTCCCTAATTGGAGAAAAAATACAAATATTAATAAATTTAATATTTAAATGAAAAGTTAGTAATAACTACTAACAGAACAGAGCAATAATAGTAATACAATTTAAATTAAAAATACATATGATAAAATTAATATTAAATTAAACTGTGGAAAACCAAACTAACCCCCAAGAGTTCGATGGCGTTGTTAACTTGTGTACCAAAGCCAACAACATCAGTTCTAGTCTTCTTTGCCGGAACAATGGCCAAAGCACCTTCCATAGCTTTTCTTTTCAGATCCATCACTAATTAGCAGCTGTTGAAAACTTTATATAGGCAAAACCGTATTTCAACTTTTCTTCCGATTTATAACACTTTCGATGACTAAAATAAATAGCTAGTAATGTGGGAAGAGGGAAAGGAAGGGATCTAGGAATAAATTCCCTATTACCGCCCGATAATTTAAATTTACAACTAAATTTAGTCCGCCAAACGAAGAAAAATTAAAAAGATTGCAGTTGAATATGATATTAAATTTCAAATCGAAACTTTTAAATCAGATCAACTCAAAATTACCGATTCGATTATCAAACTCCTTCGCCTCTCAAAGCGATAATGGACGCAACATATACCGCAAGTAAAGTAAACATGCATAGATATTACAAACAGCAATCGTAAAACTTGATTATTTGGTTCTTTGTATATTTATATATATATATATATATATATATATATATATACATATTTTATTTTTATTTATTTTATTTTCACAAAAAAGAGGGCCAAAAAGCAACCAAATGCTTGTAGGAAAGTCACCTTATCCAAATGAAATCAAAATTGATCAACATAAATTAAAGATTAAAGTAGTTCAACAAAAATCAATGATTAAATTAGTTCGAAATAAAAGATACATGGGGAGTATACTCTTTAGTTATTACGAATGTTTCCATTATTATTAACAAAATTTAATGTAAAATAATCAAAACATAATTACCTATATATATAACTATTAAACACAGATAACCAATAAAGGTAACAAAAATTCTATAAGTACATATAATTAATAACATTATTTAAATCTAGTAAATTCAAATAATATCAGATAGAATATTAAAGTCAAAAGAAATTATATATAGGTCCATTCATACAATACACGCATTCTATCATTCACACATACTCACACACATACATGCACATAACACATAGGGTACATAGAGAAATATATATATATTGTGCCTCTTTTGATTCCTTATTTGTTTAAAGTGAAGATTTAGCTTTACAGTCTTAAACATCGTAAAATTAAAAAATCTTGAAACTAAACAAATATTCACTTTAAACAAACAAGGAATCATTCCTTGGTCAGTGAATGCGTGCCCAACTTGGAGTTTTTTACCGGATTATGTTGCTTTGAATCCAATTGTTTATCTAAAAACCCCATTATGATAGATGATGATGACGACAACGACGATGATCATGATGATAAGGATGATGTTGTCGAGAACGTAGACAAAAGCAATAATTTTCGTCAAGTATTTCAAAAATTTTCGCAAAATATATACAAGTGGTAATTGAACATTAATTGTAAGCCTTTTCGGCTCCAACAATATTTTCAAAAATCCTATTGGATGTTTCGAATCAATGATATATACTTAAATTTGTGCGTGTGTGTGTTTGTGTGTGCGTATGTGTGTGTGTGTATGTGCGTGCGCGAATGTATGTATGTGCGTGCGTGCGTGTGTGTATGTGGCGTGTGTGTGATAGCGCTTCTTAACATGAACTTAAAAGAGCTGATAGATAATTATATATAATTAATAATAACGACATATATGACTCTACTGTGTTTCCACTGAGGAAAAAAACAACTCCATAGTCCCATGCTAATGGCACGCTACGTTGATTTTGCGATTTCGTTTTCTCCTGTCTGCTTATTTGTAACAAAATTATCACTTTACCTTCTAAAACAACATCCTCTACGAATTATATAGGTACCACTCCTGACCATATGCAACTGTAATTATATATAATTATGTATATACAATGTCTAATTATGTTTATGAATTGCACTTCTGAAGTCAATTATAAAAGGCGTTACAAAAATTCGATGAAATACAATACAATTCAAAACAATACAATACAATACAAAACAATATAATACAAAACAATACAGAACAATACAATTCAATATAATTGAATGTAATTCTGCCGAACTGCGTATAATATAAGGTGCTATAAAAAGAACTAACTGGAGTTTTGCAAACAGTCATCGTTTCCGTCCAAGTGAAAGATGGCGAATTATTTTTCCATCCTTTTTAGTGGCATTCTGACATCCAAGTTCTTGGTATTAATCATAAATCATGCTGTGGTAAGCGTCGTAACTTCAGCAGCAGATGTACAGATGGAAAAGTATAGAAAGATCGCGAAGGAGAGGTGGTCGACTAACAATTTAGAGCCAATTTGCGCTATAAAATCATCCGGTAGAATCGTCGGTGCGAATGTCGGATCGGATCCGATGAACCTCATTCGCTGTTCGGCGCAATGTTCCAAGAATGCGGCTTGTGTCGGTTATAATTACGTTAAACTGAGTGATGACGAAATAGGGATGTGCATGTTGATTCATCTATCGGACTTCTATCCGTTCGGTGGTTTCTACTACTCCCGTACTCCTGGATGCTTCTTTTATCAGGTTAGTCTCTCTCTTTCTCTCTCTCTCTCTCCCTCCCTCTCTCTCTCTCTCTCTCTCTCTCTCTCTCTCTCTCTCTCTCTCTCTCTCTCTCTCTCTCTCTCTGTGTGTCTGTGTGACGTCTTCTTCTGTTGCGTGGTTTTTTCTGTGCAAAAGTTTTGATTCTCTGAACCGATAACGCAGCGACCGTAATAAATTATTTTTTGTGGTTTTATTAAAATTAAAACGATAAATTATTCTATATTATAACTTGCGCTATTTTATTTCAATATTTCGACAATTAATTTTTGTAATTCTTAGGTATTCGGTCGGTCATTTTTGAATATATAACAAACGCATTTGTGTACAAATATTGTGAATTTTAGTTGGAATCGTCAGTCGTAAGTTAGGAGTCTGAAACAAGTTAATAATTTGTATGATATGCTAACGTTTGTACGACAGTTAAAGAGACCCAAGTTACAATAAACATTCAGTAGTGACTTGTATAAATTTTATTTCATCTACTTTGAAGAGAGCGAATGCACCGGTGGAGTTGATCGATCAGGAACCGTTCGCAAGCAATTCGCTTCCAGGAAGTATAAACAGTTTATTAATCAACATCATTTTACATACACATCCACACACACACGCACACCACACAAACACACGCACATACACACACGCACCACACACACGCACACACACGCACGCACATGCAGTCTACTACTATAGAGTTGTAGTTGTAACTGGAAACGATGGAACGCAGGCCTCGGTGTCGGTGAAACTGAACGGTCCCTCATCGAGTAGTGACACATTTGGATTAGGCAGAAGTTTCTGGAGCAGTTTTCTATTCATGCCCAACCAAAGTGATGAGTTCTATGTGGCAATTTCCTGGGACGGGATGCCGGTCTCCTTGGAGTATGTTGTTTGCTTGCTTGCTGTTCGCAGATTATTAATTATTTTTGAAATGTACTGACTGACTGACTGACTGACTGACTGACTGACTGACTGACTGACTGACTGACTGACTGACTGACTGACTGACTGACTGACTGACTGGCTGGCTGGCTGGCTGGCTGGCTGGCTGGCTGGCTGGCTGGCTGGTTGACTGACCGACTGACCGACCGACAGACTGATTGATACTAAAATAAAATTAAAAGTTATTTTTTCCTTCTAAAATTTCACAAACCATTAAATATTGATAGCCTAGTAGTTAAGGTTGCCTTGTGCAGTTTTAAAGAGAGTGCACTGCTCAGGTTCGAATTCGAATGCCCGCCTAATCACACGCTTCGTGTGTGATACATCGTTTAGCACGAATTCATATACGATGTTTGGGGCGTGTTGTCCAATCCTCTGAACCTGGAAAGAGTTTAATTGACCTTCGACCTTTTAAGACTATTTTTTATTAAAAAAAATTTGTTTTTCTTGACTAACTTTACATTATTAGCGTTTATCTGTGGTCAATTGTTTGCGATGACTGGAAACTTGTCAGTGTTAGTGAAATCAATTTCATGTTCATTGTCTTAAGAATATTAACACAGCTTTCGTCGATTTCCATTAAAATAACATAAACTCACTCTCATAACTCCATCAACCCATTCACACATTTGTCAACTCATAAATTTCATCCTACCACTTACTCACTCAATCATTGACTCACTCACTCACTCACTCACTCACTCACTCACTCACTCACTCACTCACTCACTCACTCACTCACTCACTCACTCACTCACTCACTCATTCGTGCTAACTCACTCATTCACTTACTCAATCACTCATTACTCTCTCACTCATTCATGCAATCACTCATTCGTGCAACCATCAAAATGTCCAACCAATCAGATAACTGTTACAAGGTTTCTAACAGGAGAAACGAAGATATTCATGTATAACAAGCTAATCGATATGAAGTTAAACCTCGGGGTTCCTCTGTGTTACGCTGACGTCACTCTAAATTAATTCTTGTTTGACTCTGTGACATATGGAACTATATGACTGACCTTTTTTCGATTCAATTTTTTTAAATTATCTTTTATTGTGTGTACGTCACCCAAGGAGCCGAGGCTGGAAACGTTTCTGAATAAATAAATTTATTTATTAATAAATAAATTAATTAATTAATGTGTAAGGGTTGTGGTTAACTGAAAACTGTATCATTGTTCACAATTTAAGTTATTAAAAACGTACCAGTATGATGATGATAATAACGGTGATAACTATTTAATATCGGATGTCTTTGTTCTATGAGTGTTGATTCGGCTAGTCGTAAATTATAATGGTTGCTATTGTAATGAAAGATTTCAACATTGTGGTACTAGACAAGTAAGTTAGAAACTGAACTGAGACAAATGAATATAGGTAAGTTAGGTCGTGAGTTTCTTCATTAGCTTGGTAGTCGTCATACCAATATATTCGGAATTATGGTGCCCACACTCACCAATATTACGTTTGAATAAATTTATTAGATGGCTGTGATCCATTATCGATTCTGGCCTACTAGTGCAGTTGGTTTTCATCACAAGAGATGACGATCTTTGGTTGGAGTAGTATATTCGTACTGTACTATCATTTTCGTTTGTCGCTTGGACGTTATTTTTTATGATTTTTTTCATAACTTTTTTTAATCCCGTTCGAAAGCAGTTGGCATGTGGTTCTTATAATAACATAGTAATATATTAAACCAACAATATACTATTAAAAACAAATTGACTGGTTGCATTCCGGAGCGTCTGATATATTTAAAATCTGCTCTTTGCTTCGCTTCTTTTTATGAACAATGGATTTGACAAAGGCGTTAAATTAATTAAAGGAATACAACAACAACTACTACTACCTACTACTACTACCTACTACTACTACTATACTACTACTACTACTATACTACTACTACTACTATACTACTACTACTACTACTATACTACAACTACTGCTACTACTAAACCCACTACTACCATTACTGCTGCTACTTCTTCTGCTACTACTTCAACAACTACTACTAATGCTGCTACTACTACTACATTACGACTGCAACTACTACTAACTGCTACTACTAACTTCCATTACTACTACTGCTATTACTACAAGCAGTAACACTATATAATTATAATCTCAAAATCGATTTGTAATAATAAAGTTTCCTATCTAAATATACAAAACTTTATTTATTTGTTGAGCAAGAAAAGTTTTATTAATTTTTATCATAATAAGATTAATAATAATCATTATTATTATTATTATTGTTATTTTATCAATGAAAATAATAATAAACTAGATTTATAAAAACACTTCTGCAAAGATGAATAAAAATGATAATTGAAAATATGTATAATTTTTTGTGAAAACTAAATAAAGCAGTTTATTTTCAAGTGAAATTTCATCTTTTATAAAACAAATCTCAAAAATAATTTGAGTTATAATAAAAATAATAAAAAGTTAATAAACAGAATTAATTAATTAATCAGTCAAATGAATGGCAGTAGAGTAGCAGTAACAACAGTAATTTTAGACGAAAGAATTTTTAAAGTAAAATTATGGAAACTTGTGTAAGCACAGTTTCTTATAATGACAAATAACAATAAAAGAATAATGAACAACACACACACATACACACACACACATACAGACAGACACATATATATATATATACGATCATACACACACACACATACACACACACGCACACAGACACACACACGCACGCACACAAACATAGAGTTTATTTCAAACTGTAAACAGCCCTTGCAATGATATCGACTGCCTCATAGATCTGGGGCTCATTTATGACGAGGGGTGGGGCGAACCTTATTTTGTCGTCGTGGGTGGGCTTGGCAAGGAGTCCCAGGTCCCTGAACCTCAGACACAGCTCCCAAGCGTTGTACCCTGTAAATTGAAAAGAGGTGCAGTTTAATTTATTAATTTATTCATAATTGATTTTAAAATTATCAATTAAAAAATTAAAATTATAATAAATTTTAAGTGGGAGTTTGAAAAATCTCTGACACGCTCCTGAACACGCTCACACGAAAACAAGCATACACACGTGTGAAAACATAAAAAAACACCAAAACAAACACACACTTACGCACGCACACACACCAACACACAACAAAAACTCACGTTCATCGACTACGATGGCATTGAGCAACCCCTTTCCCCGGACAGTCTTCACCACTTCCTTCGGCAACTTCTTCAGCTCAGTCCTGAAAATTTTTCCCATTTTTTCTGCATTCTCAGCCAGGCTTTCTTCCTCGACGACCTGGCGAGCGTGGCAGCGGCAGCACGTGGAAAAACGCATCGAAATGAAAAATAATTTCATCGGAATGAAACGTGCACACAGCGTCGAAAAATCCGTAAGAAACATTTTCGAATTTTGATGACAGCAAAAACACACGCCACTGACCACTAACTACTAACTACTGACCACTAACTACTGACCACTAACTACTAACTACTGACCACTAACTACTGACCACTAACTTCTAACTAGTGACCACTAACTAGTAACTACTGACCACTAACTACTGATCACTAACTACTAACTACTAATCACTAACTACTAACTACTGACCACTAACTACTAACTACTGACCACTAACTACTGACCACCGACCACTGACCTTCAAAGCTTCAATAGCCACTCTGCAGGCCAGTGGATTGCCACCGAATGTCGAACCGTGCTCGCCTGGCTTGATCTGAAGCATTATTTCGGAGTCGGCCAGAACTGCTGAAACCTGTCGAAGGAAAAATTATTTAATTATTCATAATTATTCATATTTATATTATATTATAATTAATATCTTTAAGTATGATGTATAGTTAATACAATACAACACAACACAACACAATAGAATACAATAAAACACAACGCAACGCAGTACAATACAACACAACACAATCTAGAGATACAAAAAATACAGTACAAAAAATACAATACAAAAAATACAATACAAAAAATACAATACAAAAAATATAATACAAAAAATACAATACAAAAAGTACAATACCGGATACACTCCTCCAGCCAAAGCTTTTCCGAGTATGACCATATCCGGACGTACGTTCTCGTGGTCCACACACAAACGCCTGAGTAACAATTTGACGTCGTCACCATCGGTGAAAAAAGTATTATAAATGAATGACTCTCATATTCTCCTCGCCGCTTCCCAGTGAGTGCAAAATTTTTAAACCACGAATTCGAGACTTTGATCGATGAAGAACTGCTACCAGGAAGGTATAACAACGCTTTCATGAATCACCGTACATTATGTACAGCAGTACATTTTACAAAATGTACTGCTGTTAAATTTGTTCTCTCTCTACCTATTCCTCCTCTCTGTTGGAGGAATAACACTCGTCGCTAAACTTAATTAACGATCCCCTCTGCAACCATTATTGCGTCCAATTTGAAGTAGAAACGTTGAATTAGTGATAGGATGAATGAATAAACGAACGAATGAACAAAAAAGTGAATGGATAAACGAAAAAAAGAGTGAACGAACGAACGAATGAACAAACAAACGAACGAACGAACGCAGGAATGAACGAATAAAATAACGAACGAACGGATGAATAAAAAAACAAATGATCAAACGAACAAATAAATTGTCTAAAAACAACAGAAACAAATTCGCAGAACATGCCTGCCAGTTCTGGCGAGTCCAGTTTGAACTTCATCGGCAATGAAGAGGACATTGTTCTTTGTGCAGACCTCTCTGACCATGGTCAGGTAGCCCTCGTCTGGGACAACCACCCCACTCTCGCCCTGGATGGGCTCTACCATGAAGGAGCACACCAGGGGGTCCCTCGTTGCCTCCTTATACGAGACGATGGTGGTGGTGGTGATGAGGATGGTGGTGGTGACGATAGTGATGATGAGGATGATGATGATAATAGTAATGATGATGATAATGGTAATGATGATGATAATGGTAATGATGATGATAATGTTAATGATGATGATAATGGTAATGATGATGATAATGGTAATGATGATGATGTAAATAAAGCAGGCGATGATGATAACGCCGATGTCTGATATACGAAAATGAATGTAAAATAAATGAAACAAATGTATTGACGGCCAGCGTAACGTGACATCTATAGCATCCAGAATAAAAACAGAAAAAAAAACAGAACCATCCCCCTCACATCTAGCGCCTTGATGTCGTTGTATGGGACGTTGATGAAGCCGGGCACATAGGGCCCAAACCCTTCGTAGCAAGTTGGGTCCGTCGAACTCGAGACAGCCGCCAGTGTTCGACCCCAAAAATTTCCTTCGGCAAAAACATGTTTGGCCTGGTTCTTGGGAATTTTTTTGACGTTGTAGGCCCATTTGCGAGCCAGCTTTGTGGCTGTTTCCCCGCCTTCCACACCTTCATTAGCAGTTAATTACAAAAATAATTAATCATAAATTAAAAAATGTCGGCAAGGAGTAATTAATTATTTAATTAATTGTTATTTAATTTAATACAGAACACAAATTTAGGAGATAAATAATAAATTAAACTAACAAAAGATCCTAAAAAATTAATTTAAAAAATAACACTAAAAAACAAGAATAAAACAAATATGAAATAAATTGAAGAGTTTTCAACCCTACAAAATCCTCTGAGGACTGGAACAAACACTAACCAGTATTCATAGGCAGGACTCGATCGTAACCGAACAGCTTGGTAACAAACTCGGAGTACACCCCAAGCCAGTTGTTGTAGAAGGCCCTGGAGGTCAAGGTCAACGAGGCGGCCTGTTCCTGAAGGGCATGGACGATTCGAGGGTGGCAGTGACCCTGGTTGACCGCGCTGTACGCGCTTAAGAAGTCGTAGTATCGTCTGCCATCCACGTCCCAGACGAAGACTCCTGTGACGAAAAGAGAAAAATGGTCTTTCATATTATTGTTCATCTTCACATCAATTATTCATCCGTCTGTCTGTCAGTCTATTCATTCATTCATTTATCAATTCTTCCATCTATCTGTCCATCTATTTGTTTATCCATTCATCCGTCCATACATTTATTCATCCATCTATCCATTCATCCATCTATCCAATCCTTAGAAAACAAAATGTGATTGAATGTTTGTTCATTGCAAACGAAAGATGGACAAGTCAAGTCTGATTATGTTTACGTGCAAACACATGTTTAAAAATTGATATTTTTTTGTCACTGTTTGTTCGCGACCTGGTTTCATTCATTCATTCATTCATTCATTCATTCATTCATTCATTCATTCATTCATTTTTTTTGTTCGTTCGTTCGTTCATTCATTAATAACACCTAATATGTAATTAAATTGATGATTGAAATTTGAGTCGGATATATATCCCGAAAAGAAATTATTCATCAATAATAAAATAATAAATAATAATTATAATAATACAAAATAACACCAAATAATAATATAATAATAATTATAATCTAATGGATAAATTAATGAAATGTCATCCGATCGGTGGTAAAACCAAAATAGAATAAAAGTAGTAGTAGTAATGGTAGAAGTAGTAGCAGCAGCAGTAGTTGTAGTAGTAGTAGTAGCAGCAGTAGTAGTAGTTGTAGTAGTAGTAACAGTAGCCAAGGCATCTACAGAAAGGTTATAGCAGTGGTAATACTAGCGTCTGCAGTAATAATTGTTATTATTACGAATGCAATTTATTTATAACTCAACTTTTTTTAATAATATTTTTAAGCTATTTGGTCCAATTGGTATATGTGTTTGTGTGTGTGCGTGCGTGCCTATGTGTGTGTGTGTTTGTGTGTGTGAGTATGTGTGAGTGTGTGTGTTTGGTGTGTGTGTGTAGCGGTGGCAACCGTAGTAGTCTTAACAGCGGGAAAAACGCAGTAGTAGTAGCTGCAGATGTAGCAACAGTAGAAATAGTAGGAGAAAAATCAATCATAATTAATGTTTAAAAAATAAAATAAACTCAAACAAATGAACGTAAATAAGTCAATGAGACCCCAACCTTTCCCCCTACTAAGGGCCACAGGGAGGGGGTGATAATTATGGGCCCCGTATTTTTCATCCTTTTCGAGAATTTGGGCCGACAACTTGCCGATTCCTTGTAGCTCAGAATCCGGAATAACGCTACTGGCTGATTTGTGAAGCGTTCTATTGCCGCTACTGCTGCTACTGCTACTGCTGCTTTTTCTGCTATCGGTCTTGCTTCTACTGCTGCAGCTGCTGAAGACGAGTGACTTGGAGTTGTCGAGAATTTTGGAGATTTTTAAGAGTTTTGACGTCATTTTTTAGCCTGTTTTGATGTCGTTGTTGATGTTTCTGTGTTGTTTAAATGATAGAAATTATGATGATGATAATAATAATTATTATTATTATTAAAAATGATGATGGTGATGATGATAGCGATAGAAATGATGGTGA